AAAAAAGGGAGATAAGAGATGAGGGGGTATAGTGAAATCTTTAGGGGTTTTCTTGTACCGCTTGAAAGAAAAAGGAAGGCGGGTCTACCATGAAATAATACGAGGAATTAGGGTTCTATACGAAATTTTTCCTTTTCGTTCTTTTAGTTTTTTAGGATTTTAGGGGATGTATGGAAAAATAGTTAGAGTGGTTATGGAATTCTTTGTTTTATTAGGGGTAAAAGTGTCATTATGGATTTGGTTTGAATTGCTACTTCTAATTCATTTTGAAATAGGATTTATTGGGTTCTAAGTAAGGTCTTTTATTATAACGAAAATTGTTTCATGTGGGCTGGACCGCATTTCTACATATGCGGTCTAGAAAGTGTAAAGCATCCATCTTAAAGATGGATGCAAGTAGGTGTTCCATCTAAAAACAATGGAAATTAACGGTCCAAATGTTTTCTTACTAGAATTGTTATTTTTTGTTTTTAAAATTTATTTATTTTTCATATTCATGATCTTCATATTAGAGATTACATGTCTTCAAAAAGTAAGTCATAAAATCCATCTCGAAAATAGATTTATTAGGAGGAGGCCCGCATTTCGACATATACGGGCTGGGCCGCATAGGAATCGGGTCCTTATTATAAATTGGGATCCTTGTAGTGGATATAGAATTAGCGTTGAATGTTATTTATTTTGAGTCTTGATTATACTAGAAGAAGTTTGACTTGTTAGCTCCCACCATTATTTAATCAGATTCTCAGTTTTGTTTATTTCTTTCTTTAAATTCTCCGCTACATTAAAAATTTCATGAGTAGTTAGAACAACTATTGGAGAGACGAGTGAGTTTTCAATGATAATAGGTTTACATTAGGGGTCAGCAGTGAGCCCATACCTCTTTGTTTTAATTATGGACAACTTAACTAGACATCTACAAGATGAGGTACTGTGGTGTATGTTGTTCGCGGATGACATAATTTTGATGGATGAGACCCGAAGCGGCATCAGCACAACGTTAGAATCTCTTAAGGGATCCTCTAGAATCTAAAAGTCTTAAAATTAACCGGACTAAAACAAAATATATGGAATGCAAGTTTAGTAATAATAAGATTTGAGACGAGGAAGTAGTTAAGATTGACAGCCAATAAATACCAAAAAGAGCGCACTTTCGATATCTTGGGTCGATAATCCAAGAAAATGGAGAGATTGAGGAAGATGTCGCACATACAATAAAAGCTGGATGGGCGAAGTGAAGATGTGCAATTAGAGTTTTGTGTGATTGCTGCATAACAATGAAGCTGAAGGAGAAGTTCCATAGGGAAGTTGTGAGACTGGCTTTTCTTTATGGGGCAGAATGTTCAGTGGTCAAGAAACAACATACCCATAGGATGAGTGTAGTTTAGATGAGGATGTTGAGATGGATGATTGGCAAGACAAGAAGGGATAGAATTCAAAATGAATACATTCGAGAGAACTTAGGTATGGCTCTGATAGTCGAAAAGATGAAAGAAAATAAACTTAGATGGGCTGGAAATGTGCAGTGTAGACCTAGTACAAAACCTGTTAAGAGGTGCGAGTTGGTTCAAGTGGAGGCTCTGAAAGGGCAGGGGGTGGGCCCCAAAAGATATGATTGGAAGTAGTGAGAAAATATATGGGGACTTATGGCCTTATTGAGCGTATGACCCTTGATACAGCAGAATGGCAGACCAGTATTCGTGTAGCTGACCTTAAATAGTTGGGAAAATGCTCTGATTATGATGATGATGTGCTTAGAGTTTTTGCTATGAACCTCGCCAATTGCTCATTAATCTATGAACTTTTTGTTGATGATTAGTGTAAATTCCGGTGACTTATGAGTAGTTGGCGAGGTTTACAACAAAAATTCCCAATACTGGTTTTATGATTCGAGCGGTTTTAGAGCTTAAGATATTGATTGCATTGGGATATTCTTGGGAGAATTTTATAAAAAGAAGTAGAAGGTGAAAGGTGTGAAGTTGTGCATAAGGGGGTAGATGAAGTTATTAGGAAATTAGGATGCTGCCCGAGGCAAATAAAATAGGTGTTTATAATACTGAATTTTTAGGGGGGATACGGGGATATCTTATAATTTCCTTTATATTTTCCATGTATTATTTTTATATATTAGGATACTCCCACCTTAGGATATATATCTGCATTGGTAAACGTCTGCGGATTTTCTGTTACATATGTGCACCACATATAAAACATATAACCCATAAGATTGCCGCTTTCAAATCATCAAGCATTTCCTTTCTCAAATTATACACTGCGCAATGCGGGCCTAGAGATTTTCCACTCGTGCAACTTTTGAATTGCATTTGCTTTCTTTGCAAGATTGTTAAGTCAGCAAGATAGTTCAAGGAACGACAATTCGAACACTTATTGGTTATCTTTCTGGTTTATCCTTTGTACTAATTTTTGGAGAAATATGTGTTTGTAACTGAGGATTTGAAATCTCATTGATCTCTTAGATAGTTCAAAAAGTCGGCTCCACACATGCCTGCACAAACCACCTAGGTGATGGGGAGGCCTCACCGCCCCGCACTGGGCCTTTGCAGTAGGGACCATGGCTGACCGACTTGTCGCCCATGGCACTGCCTGGGTGCCCGCCTGGAGCCCTTTTGGCCAGGGCGAAAATTGCCCTCTCCAAAAGGCCAAAAAATGTAATTTGCCCCATGTAAAAGGGGGAAATAGTATTTGGGGGGCATTTTGCCCACTACCAAACCCCCCCAAAAAAAAGGGCCTAGAGAGCTCAATTTGTTCCCTAAAAAACTACTTTTTAGCTCAAAATCGATTTTAAGGATCGAATTCGAAGTTTTCAATTTCTTGCGAAATACAAAGGCATTCTACTTGGAATTTTCTAGGGATTAAAGTGGTTGCAAAAGAGAGCTTTTGGCAACCGAAATTGACTGATTCAAATCTACCTAGATTGGTTTTTGAAAGGTTGGTAAATTTAATTGTTTATGTTTAAGATTTCATATTTATTGTAAATATTGTGTTATGTGTTTTTATCATTTTGTTATTATTAATTTTGAAGTTTGGCCTTACATTTTTTATGAAAATTCATGAGTGTTTTGTTTTTGTTAAGGGGTTGCTATTTTGTGATGATAATATATTTTTGGCTCTTCGTGGCTTTCTAATTTATAATACAAATTTGAAAATTTCTAATGTGTTTTTGGCTATGTTTCTAATTTATAATGCAAATTTAAGAATATTTCACTATATTTGGCTATGATTCCAATTTTTAATGCAAAAATAAAAATTTACCATTTCGTGACTGCACAAGAATCTCAAAGCAAATGTTAATGGAAAATGACATTATTTATGACGTTGTCTCTGTTGTAGGACTGGGACATGCTGTTCTTTATCAAATCGCTACGAAGCATGTTAAGATCCTCAAATGCAGTTGCCATGATCACTTTCACACCTTCTGTTGTATCATCCTCTTCCGTCTGCATGAGGTGGCAGCACTTGGCAGACACATTGCTATCCCTCAGAACTATTCCTGGTGTGTAATGCTATCGCATTCACATGTTTGTTTGCATTCACTTAATGTCTTTCTGAAACCAGTTTACATGCGATTCAGATGATGATAAGGAAATGGCAAAACTTCTTACTGATTATCAAGACATGTTCGGCCTTCTGCACATTCACAAAGTCGGTCGCCTAAATTCTCAGGTATTTTTTTAATACAAAATCCAAGTTGTTTGTGTGTTTCTGTGTGGTATCTTGATTCTCTCTTGTTCCCTTTAAAGAAATTTCTAATTTTCAAATAATAAATGTGGATTAGTTACCCTGTTAAAGTAATATGGGTTTGGTTTAGATCGAAGAATTTCTATTTCACTCGATTTCCATCGACGAAAAAGAGTTGGTGACAAATGAATTATGAGAACCTTTTAAAATTTGGATAATTTATGGTTGGTGCAGGTTCCTGTTATCCTGGAAGCAACTACATATTCATTGAAGGTCATTCGCAGGAAGACCCTGGTTTTGGAGCGGTTAAATCAAGCTCCTGTTGATGCCTCTGGTGGAGGTTCTTTAGGAGGTTGTTCTGGATCTTCCAGTGCACGTTTACTTGATTTTTGATAGCTCTTTGGGCAGATTGAAAAAATTGAAGGGGAACTATACACAGGAAGTAAAACCATAGACCACATCTGGTGTTCTATAAACCACAGGGACATCTGCCGTCCTTTCCTGAATATCGACGGTGTAGAGTATCTGTGCCCAGGTAAATATCATTTATCAGGAGTCTCAATGAAATCCCCACCATTTGCCATCAAGAATGGAGTGTTGGATAATACCCGTGGTGTATGGCACACCATCCATGTTGGGGTATGGTATTGTCAGCTCTTTTCCGTACTTGCATATTGTAATGTACAAACAATAGCTTTTTTTTCTTGTACAGAAATTTCATATTGTTGGGAAAGCTAAGAGTTGCTATTTATATATCTGGAAAAATATACAATGAGACAATTTGTTAGCTCAAATATTTTTTAACTTGAGCTCAGGAATGGCACACCCATTATTTTTAACGAGTTCTGGTATTTTTAACTTGGCTCGTTCATTTTGTTTGGCTAGGCTGGCATGATTCCTCGTTTCATCTTGTTTTTCCTCTTGACATAAATGATGGGTTAGGACATGTTTGTTTTGGTGGAAAAGGGTACTGCCAAAGATTCTTGTTCCACATGCTGTAGAAGCTGCTGCTTCCATGGGTTGAACATAAGAGCAATGGCTTCTAAAAAAAATGTCCAATTAAAGTTTTCCTAGTGGCTTCCAAAACAATGTACTTTCTACAAACAAACGGAAGATGTGCTACAGTTTTGGAAGCCATGGCTTCAATGAAGCAAACACGCCCTAGGTTGGTTCTCGAAGTAATAAATTGGATCGAGAAACAAATTAAAGCAAACGAGCATAACTCGGCAAATCGCATATGGTTCATGTTGTGGGAGGGGTTCGAGGGGATCCATCAGCGATATAGTGATTTAAAGGAGAAATCCATCTTGAGTTTTGCTAGAGACTTCGATCCTGTGGATTGACACGCGTCCGTTTTCTAGTAAGAAGCACCGACTAGCCTAGTGTTGTGCGTTAGCGCATCCGTTTTCTTTTAAGGGAAATTAATGATTTAAAAATCAAAATCTGAATTGCGAGGAGTCGATGTTCTCTCAGTCCAACTGAGGTGATTTTCAGTTAAATTGACCTACAGATGACAAAAAAGTTTAAAACAAAAATAAATAAGGAGAGTAGGGCAACTTTGGGTTCCTCGCGGCAGTGTCGCCCACCTCCCGATCCAATTTAGGATTGTTCATTTTAGTGAAATATAAATGAGAGATTCAAAACCTGTCATTTGGATCGGATTTGCCCCATTTTCTACTTTTATCAACAGTTTTTAATCATGAGATTTGTTTTATCTGATTTATTGATCCAGATCGCCTATCTTTCTGATCTTGACCGAGACAGGTAGTGGTGGTTCGATCCAGTTTAAAGCGCTAAAATACTCCCATGTCAAGGATAATTTACTCACCGACCGTAATTATTTAATGGAATTAAAGAATTACATATGGAAAAAATTTAAATAATGTTGCAATCATAAAATGTAGAATTAAAGATGCACCTAAAAAATCCTTCGAACAAAGTTGTTTTAATGTTGAAAAATCCTTTAACTGATCATCTCGACAATGAGATGTATGAATATCAAAAAAAAAGATTTTGAGTCTCGGAAATTGTGCATCTTGTAACATATCATCTAGACCATTCATTTTCAAGATTTTCATATATTTATAGATCTACTTGATTTTAACTATTTTTAGAGTTTAAAATTTCATAATTAGATAAAAATAGATTTTCAAATAAGTATATTTGTAATACATACAAAAAAAATCTAAACATGATGCGGTTTGATATATGGAACACCTGACAGGCCCATAACAAAACTATATGACGGTACTTTTTCTTGAATTGGTAATCTCATGAAATTAGCACTTCCTAAAAGATCAATGTATACTGTTTGGATAGTATCTGGCATAGACCTAGAAGATGCATCTTCACTGTTTGGATTGCCTGGAAGATGTACCTTCAGTAAATTCAGATTTTTTTATTGTACCATTATTTTTTAAAAATAATCATTCTCAATATTGTAATTATTGTACTTAAGAATCGTTCAGGTCTTTTAGTGTTTGTCTAAGTGAGAAACAAATGGGGACATTTCAAAATGCCGAGTTTGTCATATGATATCTAACAACAAAATTGAGGTAAAAATTGAAGCTTTTTTTCAACAAATTCAAATATAATATCCATAATTCAAACATTACATTTCACAAAACATGTGCATTCAAACATTAACATCATAATTATATTAATAAATAATAATATAATATTATTTTATTAATATTAATATAATATTATTATATTATTATATTATTATAGTAATTATGTTATTATTCAATAATAATGTAATATTGTTTTATTAGTATTACTATGATATTATAGTATTATTATAGTAATAATATTATATTATTGTTTGAATAATCTAATATTATGAAAACATTACAAAAAACACTCTAAATGGACTATCTATGCAACTTACCCACCCCAATCTTTTCTCTCACTTTTTTCCCCAAAACAACATTTCCTCCCAAAAACCCCCCAAGGTAAAAAGTTGTTATTTTTTGGACAGAAATGCCCTTCCCATAAAAACCAAATTCAATTCGTGGGTCCCAAGTAGCATACTGCTGGAGTGCATCTTTGCATTCCCGAAATGCGTCTTTGCACTGCCGGAGCGCGTTCTCATAATGTGGGGCGTTGTGGCTCAGACCTGTATTGCCAGAGCATACATTAAGAATGTCAGAACGTTTGTTTATACTGCCGAAGTGCGGTCCTCCATTGCAGGAGCGCTGTGGCTCTAGAGACTTCATTGTCGGAGCGGAATGCTGGAGCGCATCTTTGCACTACCGGAGCGAGTTCTCATAATGCCGGAACGCTGCGGCTCAGACCTGCATTGCCGGAGTGCACATTCAGAATGTCGAAGCACGTGTAAAACAAGATAGAGAAGGCCATGTGAAAACAAACAATGGTAGTTTAGTCTTATTTCATGCTACTTTTGAGTTAATTGCGAGGAAAGGTTGTTTGGAGGAAAAAAGTGAGAGAAAATATTGGGGTAGGGGTAAGTTGCATAGATAGTCCTT